TGGTGGTTGGTTGCTTGCTTTATATCTCTGTGAATTCATGGAATTTTTTATTTATGTTGAGACACCACTAACTTAAGTGGAAGGTTGCAAATTTTGACCTGTCCTAGGCAATTATGGCCATTGAGCAGAAGGGGATATTTTATGCAAACATCTGTTTGGATGTGGGGCCTCAGTTTATATGGTCTCATCCAAAAGACAGGTCTCTTTGTTCCCAGAGTGGGATTTGTCAATGAGCCTGTAATGTTAGGATCAACTCCTTACTCCGAGTCTCTAGGACAAAATGTTTTGACCAATAGGAATTTGGAAAGATATATGACTAATGTACCTGAAGGATGCTTCATGAGGTTGTCGCAGATGCAATTTAACAAACATTACTGTGAAATGAGAGGTCAACCTTTACAAAAAATTTACACCTCTGAGTATATTGGCACATGTAAACAGGGCTTATTTTTTTTCATTATTGATCTAATTATTCATTTACGAACAATCACAATTTGATCATATGTAAAAGTAGCAAAACCATTCTACTCTTTTTAACATTCAAAGTGTACATGTAGTGAGTGCACACAAGAATTTTCTTGAAACAAGATAATTGATTAACTAATCAATATATATATTTATTCCATTAACTCTTTCATAGCCCTAAATCAAAATCTACTGTAGGTAGTTTCACCTTTTAACTTCAGGTAATTTTGGCCAAGCCCCAATAAACATATACAGTGTATATATATATATATATATATACACATGACCTGGCCATTAATCTGAAGTTACTGTAATCTTTTACTTATACCCATCAGACTCAGTAATAAGGTTTTACCACTATTGTCAATCAAAGTCAAGCCGTTTAAGGCAGCTCAGCCAACAAATCAATATGGCTTCCTACTAGGGTCAATTTTTTTCCTCCTTTTTTTCATTTCACAATTCAATCTGCAATCATGGTAATACACTGCGGGTAGCCTCACATGTTGCGCACAAATCCATCAACCAAATGTAATTAAAGATGTGACATTTACTAAATCAATATCATTCCAATACCTGTACATTTTATATACAATTATCTTTATTTGTACAAATATACATGTATACATTCAATATACTTATCAGCCATAAATCTCATGTGGTAATTTTGCAATGTGCCTCTCCTTAATTTTGGTTAACCAACAAAAATAATATGTTTACATAGATTCTGATAACATAGATATAGAATTATATATTACATGCAAAATAGCAAAATAAAATGGGAGGGATGAAATCTTATCAACATCATGAGTTCCACGTTAAATTACTACATACTGCTTAATGTGTCAATTTTGACACATTGATTAGTTTCATTAAAGAGAAAAATCTATTTGTCTTTTCAACTTCAAACCCATTGATGCAAGCCATGGGATTCAATCAGCTTAATAAGCTCCTCCTAAGAATCTGCTGCTGCAAAGCTAGCCAAGGGTTTCTGATTCACTACTCTGCTCACAAACCCTTGGCCTACAGTGCTGTCAAATGCTGGGATTGTTTACGTCACATGATCTGGAATCTTCCCACATATGCACAGATTGCAATGACGAAAATAAAACGTGTATTTAAAAATTTAAGTTTTTAAAGAATAATTAGCAGGAAGGTATCAAGGAATAATTATTTCATTATTATTTATCACGTCTACATCTGCAATAAAGATTCCTGATCACAAAATTTGCACATCATGTTATCTCACAGATCATTGTATACTTGTGTTTTTCACTCCCGAGACTAGAGAATCAAGATATATCCTGAAAGCAAATATCATCATTTATAAAAGCAATTGCTGATTGGTCGAACGATGTCGGTCAACTCAAATCACAACTCAAGAAAAATAAAACTTTAAATAGCACCGTGGGCCAAAGATTTGTGAGGAGAGCAGTGATTTTTCTACACTCAATTTAGGTCCGAATATCGGCCCTTTCCCCTCTTAAAAATTACCGATTTTTCCCCAATTTTCAACTGCTTTTTTCCCAAAATCAAAACGTATTGTTTTGGTTTAATTGAATTTTTTATGTACGACTTATCTAAAATGGAACGCTATTGTTTTTGGTCATTCGGACGCTTAAAATAACGGCGAAAAACAACAGTTTAATTGTGTGTTTGCAGGACTTGGAAAATCGATCATGTGGAAGTCAAACTTTTGTGTCAATACATCGTAAGAAATTTAAATATGCATGTGAATCTGTTAAGCATAGCTTTATTTGTAATTTGCAAGTACTAGTAGTTCTACAACAAGTGTCCTTGATTTCACAAAAATTAAACTGTTTCTTCATCCGGCAGAGACTGGCATTGCAGAGAAATATGCGATACAGCAATAATGCTTGTAAATAGTGTCAAGATTATTCCATCTCCAATGCGAGCAATAACGAGAAATCGGGAATGATTTTTTTTTTCTCAATTTATAATTCTACCATAATGGTAAAAAAAAAAAAGAATATCTATAGGGCAATCAAAATACAAAAATGAAAGAAAATTAAAATGTAGAACTGTCCATTTTGTTGAACTTGAAAAATTTTGTAGCAAATAAATTCAATAAATGATATTACATTTACTTATTATTTTATTTTACTTGTCAATATGAAGGTTAATTACAATCTTATTGTTTTTTCCCAATTTGACACAAATGTCGACAATTTTTCCCAATTGAAAAGGCACAGGCCCCTTTTAAAAATTGTAGAAAAATCACTGGAGAGTAGCGGATTAGAAACACTTGGCCAGCGAAAATGGATGCAGCAATGAGGTTGACTTTTCTCTTTCTCATGAATACTTTTATGAATTTGATGCATGACAAAATAAAGTACTATATATTGCATCAGTGGCCTTGTAATGCATGTGCCTAGGATTAAAACTTGACTCTGAGGTAAATACACTTTAAAAATTACCATGATTACTGATTATATAAACAGTTGAACTTCGGTATCTTGAACACTGATATCTGAAACACCATGTATATGTCGAAGTGATTTGCAAGTCCCAACCACATATTTCATTTAGTAATTTACACTTGATATCTCAAATCCTCGGATATCTCAAATTTTTTTCTCGGTCCAGTTGAGTTCGAGATAATGAGGTTTGACTGTATATGCACTTTTCACTTAATCCTGTACACCTTTTGGCACTGACCCACTAATATATGGGATTCACTGGTATTCCGCTTCACCACTTATGGAAGCAGACCTGTTTACTCTTACGATTTCGCCGTATTTTGTACGGATTTTCAGTCCAAAATACGTCTTAAGTTTTGCTATAACGAAAATACGGATATCCATTCATATGGATTTTAGCAATTAGTTTTCATTATCTGTCTCAGTTTGATGCTTTTTAATCGCTAAAGAAGAGAAAATTTTCAAACATTTAAGTTGCCAAAACGCGGTGGTTTAAAAAATGACAGAAATCACTTAAAAGAGAGCAGTTTATGACGTTTTGCTTTGTTATTAAACCATGTTTTGGTAATCAGAAGTGTAGTTGTTTTCTAGTAATATATGTACAGTCGATGAAAAGTGAAATCTTACGGGCAAATGCCAAATCTCACTGACAAATCTAATAAAAAATACTAAGAGACAACAATTTGGGTAAACAGGTCTGCGGAAGACATAGAAATATTTGTAAGGAATAGAATTTGACTTCTGTAAAAACATTCAAATTTTAAATAAAATTAAATCCCTGAACATGCTAAAGTGATGCAACCCAGGCACTGTATAAGCTACAAAATTATATTTAAACAACTGATCAATGAACAGATGAATAGTTTATAACCACAAAATTAATCAAGTCCTTAAGAAATCACTTTTGGGTTTAAAACTATGATATATAATTTTAAAGCTACAATAATTTCTTATTCTAAATTATGTGCAGTACCTAAGCTGGTAGGAACATTATCTTAGTTTTGCTTGTCAAGGAATTTCTGTTCTGTTGTTCCAACCACCCCCCCCCCCAACCCCCCAACTGAAATTGCTTACGATGTGCCTGCAATAATATAGGCACTGCTAAGACGTGATCCATCTATACATAATATTGGCTCAGACTGACCTGGCTGCAATAATCTAAGCATTCTGAAGGACCATTATTACAATGTATTAATATATTACAATGCAATGATGTATTGCAATTCTGTTACCTTTTTATATGTTACAGCTCCTGTTTTGTCCACTCTCCTGTGTCCTATTTTGTCTTTTGATTTAGAGCCAGCAGCCTTCCCACTTCCCATCTGTGAAATCAAGATATTGTAATATATAATTATCTATATATACATATATTTTTTATTTTAATTTTTTTTTTTATCTTATTACACATCTAGTGCATGGTAGTATTTTTCACAGTCATGCACTTAGCAATTCTTCCTCACACCATTGTGATCCATCAGATAGTGGCACAACATACTCATGATGTAAACAGCCAGAAAAAATGTAAGTACGTGATATCTAGGGTAAATTTTATACACTATATCTCCAGTTAGTGAAATCCATTTCATAGAACCAGGAAGATAGATATCAAATTCTACTTTCAGTTGGATGTAAACAACTCTTATTTTCAATTTAATGATGACTGGTCCAAATCAAAACAAGAGGCCCATGGGCCGTATCACTCACCTGAGCACTGTGGCTAGGAAAAAAGCAAAACTCGGTTCAGTATTGAAAAGCTTACATGCATAAGTGGTCCCGACCTACCCTTAAAAAGGGGGGGGGGGGGGGGGGGAGGTTGAGGGGTATGATTTGAACAAAATTGAATCTACGCTAACTAAGGATGCTTACATATTTCTTTGACTAACTGTGGCTTCTTTTCTTACAAGTTTAAACTTTCATTGTTGCCCCACCCTACCCCCAGGGGTCATGATTTGAACAAACTTGAATCTACACTATCTGAGGATGCTTCCATATAAACAGTCAGGGGTGAGACTGAAATCCGTCATTTCTGAAAAATGATGGATAATCGTCATATTTACTAACTACGTATTTTCGTCATTTTTGTCAATATGACTTACTATCGTCATATTTTCTTTTTCAACTTAATTCTTCTATCCTGGTTACATAAAAGCGAAATTTGAATTCACCGCTGAAAGAAGCGTGTTTACGCAAGTTTCATTTCATCCGGGTCACTAATTACTGCCGACCACGTGCGTTAGAACATCAACATGGAAGGTGAAAGTTATTATTTAGCGGTAAAATGTCGAATTTTGGTAGAACTAATTCGCCATTTTTACATGGCTTTTAAACCTATAAAAACATATAGTACACCGTCTGGAAGAATACGTACTTGTAGAGAAAAGTCTCGACAAAAAGTTAAAGCCATAAAAAAGTAGTGCGCCCCGTAAAACAAGCGAGATATTTCAGTGCGCCCAGACCCTCCATTTTGAAAAAAGACGGCATATCGTCATTTTCGTCTTCTTTCCTATTTAATGCAAATAAATTGACAAATAACTCTTCCACTCTTATTTTTGCTTGGGAAATTTGTACTGTCGACATAACCAGTATTGTAGTCAACTGTATTAGAGAAATGAAGTTTGTTTACGATGTTTTTTGTCCTTTTTTCGGTTGGTGGATCTAACATTTTTCAAAGAGAGGTAACTCGGTATTCTAGAAACACTCTAAATTTTTATGACCGTTTTTCGTCATTTTCTTAAAAATGACGAGTTTAAGTCATAATAAAAATTTTATTTTATGACTAAAAATCGTCATTTTAAAAATGACGGATTTCAGTATCACCCCTGACTGATAAATATGACCAATCATGGCTTTGTTGTTCTTGAGAAGAAGATTTTTAAAGATTTTTCCTATATACATGTACTCCAATGTAAAACTCTGATCATCCATTGTGGGCCCCCCCCCCCCCCCCCCCCCCCGCGGGTCATGAATTGTACAAACTTGAATCTTTCAAATAAATATGACCAAACGTGGATTTGCTGTTCTTGGGAAGAAGATTTTTGAAGATTTTTCCTATATACTCCTATGTAAAACTATGATTGTCCATTGTGGCCCCACCCTACCCCCAGGGGTCATGATTTGAACAAATACACTACCTGACAATTATTCCACATGAGTTTCATCTTTCCTGGCCCACTGCTCCTTGAGAAAAAGATTTTTAAAAGATGCCATTAATTTTTCACTATTTTATAATTATCTCCCCTTGGAAGAGGGTGTGGCCCTTCATTTGAACGAATTTAGATCCCCTTCACCCAAGAATACTTTGTGCCTAGTTCGGTTCAAATTGGCCCTGTGGTTCTGGAGAAGAAGATGAAATTGTGAAAAGCTAACGACAACGACAATGCCGACGACAACGGACAAATTTTGATCAGAAAAGCTCACTTGAGCCTTCGGCTCAGGTGAGCTAAAGATGAGTTGCTTTTCTTTTTTTAAAACAGTATACCTGATTTATTTGGAATTTTAATTGTTAATAGTGTCAGATTAATTTTATATAGCAATTCAGGGTTGCAAATAACCACTTGCCCACTCACAAATGTGAGTAATTTTGCCAACTCTTGAGGATGTTATTGCCCACATGGTGAGTAAGACTTTTATCATGGTTTGGTTCTACTATTAAATGCACTTTCATTTTCACTGTTTTCTTCTTATAAAACATTTTCGCGACCCAGAATCAGGTCAATGATACGCTTCCTTAAAAGTAAGAAAATTCCTTCTATGCATCAACAGTAGCAGGTTTTCGTCCATATCCTATTATTCACAATTAGCAGATTTATTAATTTTCCTCCTGAAATAAGAATGTTGAAGACGTTTTCTGATCTTGTGCTGCTACCGTGTGTTAAAATATTTCACGTTAAGAACTTTGAAAGTCGGTAAAGTAGGCTTTCTGTAATTTTATGATAGATTGAAATGTATAATTTAAAATACATGCCTTAAATTGAATGAAAACATGAAATTTCATACAAGTGGTTTTGAAATCTGCAGGAAAAATTGAAAAGAAATACTGTGGACAATAAAGTATTTTTATCTGAGATAATGATAAGAAAAGATTTTTTTTATTAAGCTAATAACGCATAGCCCCTAAGGTTAAAAATGTTATTTGCAACTCTGTAATTGCTCTCCCCTACCAACCCAACAATGGGTGACAGCCCTGTACACAATAAAGGAATGTTTTTAAGTTTTGTGTGAGTTATTGGTGTGTAAATCACACAGACTTGTCACGTAGGCATATTAGCGCTTCATGAAAAATATGCCTACGTGCAAGTCTGTGTTATTTACACACCAATAATTCACTCTAAACTTAAAAACATTCCTTATATTTACATTTTACATGTTTAAATGCACCAAAAATATACTCAATGTTTGAATTTCTCGCTGCCCTATATCGTCATATTTTTATTTATGTCTCTGTAGGCTCATTGTGATGTCATTTAAGCGCGAGTTTCTCCATGTAGAGGATACACAAAAATGGCTTTCAAATCAATGTCACAGTTGGCTTAGTAGAAAAACACAGCAAATGTAAATATTCTACATTATACATATTTACATTACATAATGTTTATAACAGGGTTCTATAACTTGGACCTATAGTTTTTATGTAATATGTATACACGTAAGTTTTGATCAAGTAAGTCAGTGTCTATCATACTTATTAATAAGATTTTGGGGGAAAAATTCCCCCTTCAGAATATCTGTTATTTTCCATATGCTTTATTTGTAGTAATTAAATAGGGTGAAAATGTGTTCCATTTATATATGATGTATATTACGTAGCTTTGACCATTATTACAACCACAGCTTTTATCATGATTATGAAGAAAAAAAAACTGTGACATCTCTGTAAGAATTAAAATATAAAAATTCATGTTGATCTATCATATTTATATCAAAAGTCATACAGGGCCACACAGTATTCTTAGCAATAATCTTTGACCTTTTGACCTTGACCTTTAAGCAGATGACATCAGAATCTAAGAGTATTTTTTAATTGTGTAGTTAACAAGAAATCTGCATGATAAAATAATTTTTGTAAATATATATAAGTGTGTGGGAGAAATTTTTTTTGGATTAATATACATGATATATATTTCTAATTGTGAATGAAAAGAAAATATATTATTACCCAAGAGGTCCATTTTACACAAAAACTCCTTCCATGTATATTAATTAAATAATGCACATGTATATTATATAATGTACATATTGCATGTTAAATTACATTACATATATACATATATGCTTACCTCTGCATGGTCCAATCCCCCGGCTTTCCCAGACTCTTCATTTGAATCATCTATAATGAATATATATATATTGAAGACATCAATAAGATCCTGTTCTTTAAAAAAATTAATGTTCATTTATTTGATGAAAAATGTGAAGATAACAAAAAATGATCAATCTCAAAATACCTACAAACACTACAAATCTGTGAACACTACTGCATGTCGATTCACGACTCGATTGGGCGTTCGACATCCTGGCTGTGTGATTGCCAAGGAACAGTAGTCAGTAAATTTTAATACAACTGTACCACTAACTCATCTGTATTCACAGTTTGAATTTAATATGTTGACAATAAAAAAAAATCTAAAATATCATTCAACTTTTTTGACGACATGGATAGGCTAGCTACCATGTTTTACAATGTCTGTATATTTTAACAACACATTAATGGGTAAATTCTAGAGGAGTTCCAACCAAGTATTCGATGTAGTGATCAACAGCAGTGAAAACATGCGCTGTGCTGTGATTAATGATACTTTAAAAGTGATGACACAAAAGACATTTGAGTATATGATGTTCTTTTGTTCTTTTGTTAATTGGAAAAGCACTTGTCCGCGGACAGGCACCACTTATCAAATAACTTGCCCACAAAACACAATTGGTTGTCCCGGGCAGGGACCTATATACTAGTATATAGGTCCCTGTCCAGGGCAATCACTGTGTATGGGACATATATTTTAACTGTGGTGAGAGCTTGTCCCAAGACACAGTTAGATTATTCTAAGTTTTGTCCTATATGTACCAGAAACGAAAGAAAAACAAATCAATAACAGCTAGCACCAAAATGCAAAATATATCAATGGTGAATTTATAGATGAAACATATGATAAACACAATGATAAAAGTTAATGCCAGTTTTTGGGGTGGGGCACAATTAAAAATAATCAATGAGTCATCAAAATCACAAAGTGCATAATTGTTCCGACAACTCTGGACTTGATAAGAAACATGAGAAATCTAAAATATAGAGTTTCTCCACCCAACCTCAACTAGCACGTATACTGAATAATCAAAAGGAAGTTGAACATTCCGAATTGTTATAGATATGGTGAATTACATTTACACAGTTTTTTTTAATTTCCTTCAGATATTATGGTGAACCTCTCATGGGAGGCAGATCACATATAAAGTCTGTACAATTAACACCCCACAGGGAATTCCTTATCTAAAATCTTTTCTTCCTCAACATGCCCAACATGCAAAACCTCTCAGTTTTGTATATACACCACATGAACAAAGCCACCAAAGACACACCTACATGAATTAACCTCCCCTTTCTAACTTCAGTAACTTACCACTATCTTCAGCCATGGACGTTGACGGTTCGGGGTCGTGCTTCCCAGCTGCGAGGACTGAGCCGTCACTCGTCGCCATCCCCAAAATTTTAGTTCAGGAACACCCAGTCCGATTTTGGCTGATGTTTTTCTTTCTTGGGTTTCAGATTTTCTTTGAGAGATATTTGGGTGCGATCCGCTCAGTTACATACCCACTTTGAGAATATGAAAGATTCTCAATTCTGTGAAGTTTTACATTTTTAAATTTGCTTATTGATTGTTGTTCTCTCAATCGCCTGACATTATAGCGGATATGGTGAAGAGCGCACGCGTGTTACTGCGCTTCCGTCATGTTTTGAAATATCTCTGTGGTGGATCTAAAATTTCAGGAACGACTTAATTTAAATATTTTCTTCAAAACATCAATTTGTGAAAGATTTGAAACACCACTTGACTATACAACATAATATGTGTTTTTCTGTTTACAATCAGCCAGCAGTCATAAACTTGACCAGCTGTTGACACGTGATGCCATGCATTTCTCTGAGCTAGTGAACTTTAATTTTGAAATTGTTATAATCATATCATCCCATCATATTTAATATAATTTCGTTTTTTGAAAAAAAAAAAATAAATAAATAAACCAAATAAAACACACCGATCTATCCATAGGTAAAATTTGGCGAATCAAACAGTCAAGTTCAAGTCCAACATGGTCAGCAGACCAGTCTGTTAATGCACCCTAAGCACATCGTCCCATGCAGTTTAATTAATTTGTAAATGAGTCAAAATATAACTACATGTACTATATGCTATAAACAGAACATCAGAAAATAAATGGAAATAAGAGAAAAAAAAAGTGGGAGAAAAATATACTGAGAACCGAATTTTTTTTAGGATGAGCACATATACATACATTGTAATTTCCTAAGGATTTGTTTTTTTTTTCTCTCTCTCTCGTTTTGGGTTGACATCATTACCATAGATTTAATAACTTTGAGTCTATGAGAATACAGGCATGCATATTATGTATAAGTACCTTTTTTGAAAGTGGGGAAGCCATCCCCCCAAAAAAGATCACAACTTACCTGAAAAAAAAAATGACAAGCAGAAAAAGTTTGGGGGGGGGGGGGGAGGTTCCATCTTCTTTCACAACCAAATTTTATTCATATTCTTTGCTTTACAAAAGGAATATGTGCAAGAAAATACAACGCCAAATACTTATTAAATCCTTATCATTTTCTATAACCAAGTTGTCGTAATTTTTTAGTTAACATAGGACCCTTTGAAAATACTTGGATCTTTTTTTTTTTTTCAACATAAACTTTCAACTTTCATTGTAATCATTATCTGAAGTTCATTAAGCGTATCTTGTAATTCATCGGCAGATTCAGCAAAAAGATTACTGACTGGCTTCCGCTTTAAAAGAACCATCAATCTAAAATACACGAGTATTAATATAATTCCTTTTTGATGGCACTTGTAACTGTGTAATACTTTGTATATCTAAAACATATTCTTGTTCAGTAAAGATTCTTCAAGATCATTTTTTATATATTGAGAATGAAAAAAATGTGAAAAATTTTCTCACACGCCTCCTTTATTCTATAACTAAAAAATTCGGTCGACACGCCGGCCATTCATTTTTTTTTTTTCAACATTAAATCTCATTCGTCTGTCAGTTTGTCTGTCACAAAAACTTTAACCTTGGTCATAATTTTTGAATGAGAAGAGATAGGGCTTTCATATTTCACATGTACATTACCTGTGTCAAGACCTTTCCAATATACTATGATTTTTGACCCCGTGACCTTGACCTTAAAGTTTGATCTGGATTTCAAAAATTTTAACATTACTTTAAACTGGTCAGAACTTTTAAATGATTAAAGAAAAGGGTTTCATTTTACGCACATGTGCATTATCTGTGACAAAACCTTTCTAAATATACTACGATTTTTGACCTTGAAGTTTGACCTACTTTTCAAAAAAAGTTATCTTTGCTTATGACTTTGATTGAGAAACGACATGGCTTGCATGTTTGACATGTGCATTACCAGTGACAAGACGTTTTCAAGCGTGCTGATATTTTTTTTTTACCTCTTCACCTTGACATTCTTGTTAGACCTAATTTTCAAAAATATTAACTTTGGTGATTACTTTTGAATGACACGATGGGGCATTCATATATTTAAAAAGTCCATTACCCGTGTCAAAATGTTTCCGAACGTGCTATGATTTTTGACCCCATGACCTTGACCTTCAAGTTTGACCTAATTTTCAAACATTTTATCAGTGTTGCTAACTTTTGAAGGAGCAAGATAGGGCATTCACATTTGATCCGTGCATTACCTGTGACAAGACCTTTCCAAATGTACTATGATTTTTTAACCCCATGACTTTGACCTTAAAGTTTGACCTAATTTTCAAAAATTTCAACATTAGTGCTGATAACTTTTGATTGAGAGAAGATATGGCATTTACATTTGACATGCGCATTTCCTGTTTCAAGACCTTTCCAATTGTATACTCTGGCATTTGACCTGTGACCTTGACCTTAAAGTTTAACCTATACAGTCTTTTTCAAATTAATTTTACAATTGTTATAACTATTGAATGACAGAAGATAGGGCTTTCATATTTCTACATGTACATTACCTATGACAACACCTTTCAGAACAAGAGGCCCATGGGCCACATCGCTCACCTGAGTAACTTTGGCCATGCTGTTCATTACCAGACTTCCCCCCTTGTAATACCTATTGTGGCCCCGCCCTACCCCCGGGGGCCATGGTTTGATCAATTTAGAATCTACACTACCCCAGGATGCTTCCATATAAGTTTCAGTTTTTCTGGCTCAGCGGTTCTTGAGAAGAAGATTTTTAAAGATTTTTCCTATATATTTCAATGTAAAACTTGTATTCCCTATTGTGGCCCCGCCCTACCCCCGCCGGTCATGATTTGAACAATTTAGAATCTACACTACCCCAGGATGCTTCCACATAAGTTTCAGCTTTTCTGGCTCAGCGGTTCTTGAGAAGAAGATTTTTAAAGATTCTTCCTATATATTTCAATGTAAGACTTGTATTCCCTATTGTGGCCCCGCCCTACCCCGGGGGCCATGATTTGAACAATTTAGAATCTACACTACCCCAGGATGCTTCCACATAAGTTTCAGCTTTTCTGGCTCAGTGGTTCTTGAGAAGAAGATTTTTAAAGATTCTTCCTATATATTTCAATGCAAAACTTGTAATCCCTGTTGTGGCCCTGCCCTACCCCCGGGGGTCATGATTTGAACAATTTAAAATCTACACTACCCCAGGATGCTTCCACATAAGTTTCAGCTTTTCTGGCTCAGCGGTTCTTGAGAAGAAGATTTTTAAAGATTTTTCCTATATATTTCAATGCAAAACTTGTATTCCCTATTGTGGCCCTGCCCTACCCCCGGGAGTCATGATTTCAACAATTTAGAATCTACACTACCCCAGGATGCTTCCACATAAGTTTCAGCTTTTCTGGCTCAGCGGTTCTTGAGAAGAAGATTTTTAAAGATTCTTCCTATATATTTCAATGTAAAACTTGGATTCCCTATTGTGGCCCCGCCCTACCCCCGGGGGTCATGATTTTACCAATTTAGAACCTACACTATCCCAGTATGCTTCCACATAAGTTTCAGCTTTTCTGGCTCAGTGGTTCTTGAGAAGAAGATTTTTAAAGATTTTCCCTATATATTTCAATGTAAAACTTGGATTCCTTATTGTGGCCCCGCCCTACCCCTGGGGGTCATGATTTTAAAAATTTAGAATCTACACTATCCCAGGATGCTTCCACATAAGTTTCAGCTTTTCTGGCCCAGTGGTTCTTGAGAAGAAGATTTTTTAATGACCCCACCCTATTTTTGTCTTTTCTCGATTATCTCCCCTTGTAAGGGGACTTGGCCCTTTATTTTAACAATTTAAACTTCCCTTCACCCAAGGGATTTTTGTACCAAGTTTGGTTAAAATTGGCCCAGTGGTTCTTGAGAAGAAGTTGAAAATGTGAAAAGTTTACAGACGGACAGACGGACAGATGGACAGACAGACGGACGGACGACGGACAACAGGTGATCAGAAAAGCTCACTTGAGCTTTCAGCTCAGGTGAGCTAAAAAGTATATCATTTTTGCCTTCATGACCTTGATCTAGAAGTTTGACCTACTTATCAAAAATTTTAACCTTAACCATAACCTTTATGCTCCAAAACAGGCAAGGCTTCCATATTTTTTTTACTTGTTCATTACTTATGATGAGACCTTTCGGATTGAATTATAATTTATGACCCCATGGCCTTGAAGTTTGATGTAATTTTGAGAAGCTATAATTTGATGTAATTTTGAGAAGCTATAATATTTGCCATAACTGTTATTAATTCAATCATTTATGTCTCTTTTGTATCATGCACAGACAACACAGGACACAGAAACAAAAAAGGTACAAATTGGATCCCAACCACTAAGACACCGAATGTGGGTGACCACAATTCTTTGAATTTGCTTGTTAAACCAATCTTCCATTCGCCTGAAATTAAACTAGTCCTCTTTCATCATATTTCATCATTTCATATATCAACATCACATTTCTTTTTATCTATCAGAGGCATTTAAAATTTTCCAATTGTATTTGTTGAACGTAAATTTTAATTCATGATAAAAAAAAAAAAAACTTCCCTAATTAAGACAAGATTACATGTATCTTTATTTACTGCTGAATTACGTCTGTTGTGTATTCTTTTTGCTGCATGAATATTTTTTTTTCTAGCCGTCTACTATCTTGATTTAACCATAGTTTATTGTCCACCACTTTCGCAAAGCCGAGGGGGACATTAAATCTCATTCATCTGTCAGTCTGTCCGTCAGTCTGTAACAAAAACTTTAACCTTGGTCATTACTTCATTGTTTCAATGAGAAACCTAGGACTTTCATATTTTATTTCATGTACGTTACCTGTGATATGACCTTTCCAAATATACTAGTCTTTCGACCTTGTGACCTTGAAGTTTGACCTACTTTTCTAAAATTTCAATATGACTTTTATAACCCTTGTCATAACTTTTGAATGAGAAGAGATAGGGCTTTAATATTTCATATGTTCAAAACCCATGACAAGAACTTTCCAAATATACTCTGCTTTGATCCCGTGACCTTGACGATTGACCTAATTATAAACAAGAGGCCCATGGGCCACATCGCTCACCTGAGCACATTGGCTAGGCAAAAGCACAAATCAGTTCAGTATTGAAAAGATTACCACCGGGGGGGGGGGGGGGGGGGGGGGGCTTGAATTTTAAACTACCTGATGATGCTTCCATATCAATATAAGAAATGGCTTTCTTGTACTTGAGAAGATGTTCAAAAAAAATTTCCCATATATTCCTTTTTAAAAATTTGATCCCCCATTGTGGCTCCTCCCTATCCCTGGGGTCATCATTTGAACAAATTTGAATCTACACTACCTGAGGATGCTTCCAAGA